TCCGTTATTAAGACCAAAACAACTTTGATGAAGTTTAAATTCGCAGGCCTAAGTTATCAATTATTAAATCGTTCTTCTGTCAATTCCTGCAGGTTTTGCTGTGTTTTCTTAAACCAAAGCCATGTTGAGCTATCTTCGGTATCCACCGAGGAGAATCGAACCCTGATTTTAGCGTTGTAAATCCGTAGACTTAACACTGTCTCAGCGGGGAACACGTTTTGCTGCCCAACTGAACAATATTGTAGAAATGCGCAATGATTTAAAAGTGCAAATGATCACTAAGAGTTATGTGATAATCTCATTTATTCGAAAAATTGTTTCGTATCGAGATTATCGATGTCATTCTATTGAAATTCAAAAAGTTTTAATGTTAGACTTTTTGTTACAGGTTCTTTCAACAAAGGCCCCACAGTGGCACATCAGTATGTCTGAGGACTTACAACGCTAGAATCCGGGTTTCGATATCCGTGGTGAGCAGAGCACAGATAGCCCATTGTGTAGCTTTGTACTTAATTACAAAAACAAACAAAACAAATAAACTTTCAACAAAAAACTCCAATTTTTTATTAAAAAATAGTTTTATACGAATATCAATGATAAGAAAAACGTAACGCTAAATACATGTCGCTAAATAGAATAGCATCTCGTACTTAATTATTACCACATAATACGTTGTAAACGACATTTAATGAAGATAGCATATCCAGTGAATTAAACAAAGTAAAAACAGTTACACATTACTCACATCCTATGAATTAAACAAAGTCAAAACAGTTACACATTACTCACATCCTGTGAATTAAACAAAGTAAAAACAGTTACACATTACTCACATCCTGTGAATTAAACAAAGTAAAAACAGTTGCACATTACTCACATCCTGTGAATTAAACAAAGTAAAAACAGTTACACATTACTCACATCCTATGAATTAAACAAAGTAAAAACAGTTACAAATTACTCACATCCTATGAATTAAACAAAGTAAAAACTGTTAGAAATTACTCACATCCTGTGAATTAAACAAAGTAAAAACAGTTACACATTACTCACATCCTGTGAATTAAAAAAAGTATATACAGTTACACATTACACAACTTACGATTCTGTTAAACAGCTACGTAGCCAAGGAAGCTCAAATATTAACAAAGACATATCAAAGATTGTTTCTAAAAGTTAAGAGTGATTAATAATTATTTAATTATAATTATTTAACTTATTTAATTTAGAATAATTATTTAACTGTGTTCATTACTTAAGAACAAAAAACATTTACGTTTTCCATTAAGCAAAAAACGATAAACTAGATAAATAAGTAATGGTTGAATAAAAACTGTCCCAAATCTCTTACTTTTGTTTAATTAAATTCCTAATAAGACTTTTATCATAATCACAAATGTTCTCTTTCAGTGACTAGTTTTAAATTGATGACACAAGTAAAGAAAGTCTGAGTTCTAATATAATTATTAAACGACAATAAATAAACGTTTTAAAATTACTTTATGTATTTTGAAATTAATATTCTAATAATAAATTAGTGGTTTTATATTCTCGAAGAACTGTTCCGTAAAAGGTAGCTAGCTATATATATATATATATGTGTGTGTGTGTGTGTGTATATATATATATATATATATAAAGTTTATGTAGGCTCAGGATCTTTCAGCTGTACACCATAGTGTATAATCTTTACTGGTTCGCTGATTGGGTACCTTAACTAAATAGCAAGGGAAAGATAGACGGCTGTAACATAAAACATTAATTATCCTCACGCTTTTCAGTATCCTTAATCCAT